AATAAATCGAATTATATTAAGTATAAGAATATGCTTAAATCGTTTTTTTTTTTTTAAAATTTTCGAACAGAAGTAAAATAATTTATTAAATTTAATTTAAATTTTTTATAATTTTTATTTTAACTTGCAATTCGCAATCACTGCTTTGATGTTTGCAATAGAATGTTTCTACTTTTAAAACTATTTTCAAGAAAAAAAATATAATTCAAAACGTTGGCAAAATTTACGATTTACGAAAAAAAACTTCTTTTCTCCCTTGTTTCATCAAAGTTTTTTTAAATTTTTAATTTTTTTTTAAATTTCAATCACAAAATTATTTGAATAAGTGAATTTTAAGGCTAAAGTTCTCTTGTTAAATTGATTTATTTTTAAATAAAGTTCCTGAAAACAATTGCGTATTTATAGAAAATGTTTACTAAACATTTGTCGACAAACAAAATTTGTCGAATAGAATATGAAAAACGCGACACCATTTTTTTATATTTTTATTTTATTTATAGCGACATCTAGACTAAACAGTTTAGCGTTTTTCATATTCTATTTGACAATTTTTGTTAAAATAATTATTAGTTAAAAGCTTATATTATGTGTTAACAACATGTAAGATCTAAAATGAAACATGTCTATGGCTAACTTTTGCGAGTATATTTAATAAATTAATATAATTGTTAAATTAATACTTGAGTAACTGTAAGTTACTCAAGTTACTGTAAGTTATCTTAACTGGTTGTTTTGATTTAGGTTATAAGTTAATTTACTGCGATATACTCTATCCATTCAGTAAAGTTAACTAAATATAATTTTAATAGTTTTTAAGTCGTTAGAGCGAAAAATGTGAAAGCAAAATAGTTGCTGGTTTCTTTTAGCACAATTTTACTAATAGAAATTTTATTTAATAAAAACGAATTTTTATATATTTTATTATACTTAAAGTAGTAAAAATAATTATATAAAATTGTTTATAAAATAATAATTTAAATCATTATTATTAAGTTAATTTGGAGCAATGTTTCTTTTAAAAAAAGATAAAAATGCTGTTTTGTTAAAAAAATAGAATGAAGAAAAAACTATTTTTAACTTTTGTCTTTTTAATTTGTTTCTACGCAGAGATTCAAAGTAGTTTAAATTAAAAAGTGCTTTACTTTGAATAAAAATCTCAGCGCGAAAGAGCAAATGATCATGCTTCTATTGAAAGACAAACTTTGTGTGATGTACTTTACTATGAAAACATTACTTTTAAGAATTGCCAAAAAAAAAAAGCTAAAATACTAATTTAGCTTTTTTTTTTTTTGGTTACTTTTTTAGTTGCTAATTTACTATTTTTCTAATTTAATTGGAAAAATAGTAAATAAACAACTAAAAAAGAAAACCAATCGCAAAAATATATGTTTTAAGAAAAAACTAATCGCGAAGGTGTAAAAAGCAATCGCTTAACTTGAGCCCTGCAGTTTTTGGGGTAATATTATTGTTTAATGATATGGGTAATTCTGATATTCTGGTAAATTCCCTAAAGAACTAGTGCACAACTGTCCCCAAAAACATTGATTATGAAACAAAAATGCAATTCGGAATAGTTTTTATCTGTTAAAAACTAAAAATAAACAAGATTTACATTTATAAACAGCTGGGGCAGTCAAGTGTATTTAAAAGAAAAACTCAGATGATACTGTTTTATCTTCAATCCAAACCCCAATAGCAAAAAGCAAATTATTTGTGTACAATGCACAGCGGGCCAAAATCATTATTAGCTGGACAAAACTAATAACTTTAAAATATTAATCAGATTTTCCCCATAATTACCAGGTTGAGTATATTTCATACTAAGAATTTGATTGTACCATTAGATTGTTTATTTAGTTGCTATGGATACCTACATTCCATAGCAACAGAGCATTTAGCATAGTTACCTAAATTAAGAGGTATTCTTAAAATGTCAATTTTATAAACTATATTGATATTAATGCTAGAATGCTATTTGAATGATAGCACAAAAAAAAAACTAATTTTTGGTGTTGTTATGCAGTTTCAGCTCTTAGAAACCAGTTTAATTTTTTTTAATGAGTTCTTTGCTTAATTTAAAATTTCTTTAAAAAATTGACAGTTAATAAAATTTGAACTAATTGTGTCTATGTAATTCAATTGTCTTTAGCAACCAAATAAAAATCAACAAGCGTTCATACAATTAAAGCTATAGAATACTTTATAAAGTATATGTAAGTATATGTAAAAGAAAACATTTATTAAACATAACATGCATTATTTTATTATATAAATAATAAATACTAATAAAGTAAACAACTTCTTGAATACCAACTAAAATTAAAACCATGTTATTGCAATTTAAGGTTAGTCAAAAATTGGAAACTATTTAAGTTTTTTTTTTTTTTATTTGCAACTTTTTTAATTTTTGTTAAAATCATTTATTTTATAATACATGTTTTGACTATATCATAGCCATTATCAGTTAAAATATATTAAAATGCTTAAATCAAGGCTGCAAGCAACCACTATTAAGTTGGGAGTTACTAGGAAAAAAAAGAACAGTGTTATAGAGCAAGGAAACGGTTGACAGAAGACTTGAAAAGTTGAAGGTGTATGAGTCAGGAAAACATGAAGATGGGAGAGAGTTCCAAAGGATTGAAGTGCGGGGTAAAAAATTAGATGATTAAAAGTTTTTAGAGCATACAGGGACAGATACAGTAAACGAATGAGACTTAACTGAATGACAAGTAAAACGAGAATGAATTTTAGTTGATGGAACTAGAGGTGATAACTCCTTTGAGCAGTGACCATGATAGTATTTGTAGAAAAGAGAAAGAGATCATCAAAAACGCCAATTAGATAAGCATTGCTCTTAGGATAATATGATTTTCTCAAACTACTTAGCAAAGGGTCAGAATAACACATTAGTCGCCTGGATAAATCTTTGTTTGCTTTTAACCGCGAACACTTTCTGGAAAATGATTTATGAAACTTCTCATGTCTCTTCACTGAGCAATTAAGCAAGTCATTAAGCAAAGTCATTCTCTCTATAACTTTTTAATGGTGAATTAGAAGGTGATGCAAACAATGTGATAGATAGATAGATTTGCGTACATTTCAACTGCTTTGTAGTAATATTCTCTAAATAGTGAAGAAGAATGAATTAGAGTGAAAAGAGTGAATTAGAAAGCTAGATGACAATGTACACAAAATAACATGTATCATCTTTATCATAGTGACATCAAGTTCAAGAATTTTAGCACTTTTCTGCATTCTAAAAAATCTCTACTAGCAGTGTTTTACATTATTTGATGACCCAGAGTAACCAGGCATTGGCATGTCAATTACCAGTTTAACTTCATCACGAAACCTTATTGTTGTATTTCATCTAGAAGCTGAACAACATTGAGAAGATATAGTTGCTTTAGATAATGCTGTATCAACTCTGAAATAAATAAACTGGCTTCTAAAAGATTTTTGTATTCTTTTACAATTGTTACCAGAGTATAAATCCTTTGACTAGTTGATCCATCAAACCGAATATTAGGATGTGATGTTAGATGTTAAAGAATGATCTTTCAAGATCATTCATTTAATAGATTATATATAATAAATGAATAATATCTTGAATGAATAATATATATATATATATATATATATATATATATATATATATATATATATATATATATATATATATATATATATATATATATATATATATATATGTATATATATATATATATATATATATATATATATATATATATATATATATATATATATATATATATATATATATATATATATATATATATATATATATTTAAAACTGCTTGTCCCTACTTCCTAGTCAGGTATCACTAAATCTTAATGTTTGATCAAAATTTCGGCTGCAATTTGGGCAATGTTCACACTCAAAAAATGTTCAGGAACTTCCAACAGTGATCACATGTCCATCTGGAAAGATAGAGATTAATAAAAAAAAATCAAAAAGTTTTTTTAATTTTCTTTGTTTTTGCAAAACTATTTTCATAAAATTTTTTTATGAAATGTGTTTTCATAAGGAAATATTTGTGTCCCCCCAAGAAACTTTTTTCAATGAACTGAAATAAATGAAGTTTGAAGTGTAATCAAATATTTACAATGAACAGTTTCATACTACTACTTGATTGCTAAATGAACAACAATTAAGTATCTGCTACCGCATAATTAAAAAATGTAATAAAAAAATTAACTTTTAAAAGTACTATTTTCAAAATATTTTCAGCAATAAAATCTAAAGAATTGATTACAGATATATGACTCAGCAACGGATTAGGGATCTTAGAGAAAAAAAATTTTTAAAGCTATATGGTTAATTGTAACAGTCAAACAAATAACAAACAAGATTGTAAGTAAAAGTAAGTATTGAAGTAATTGAAGTATTGAAGTGCAAACACAGGAATTATTTAAGGACTTATTTTAAGACAAATTTTTATCTTTTTTGCACTATAACTGGGTGGGTAAATTTATATAGACCTAAAACTGTCTTTAATTTATCATGATGTAAATAAATTAAGTCTACTAAGAATATCTGAATAAAAATTTTTCTCTTTCAATGCGGGGCATTGGGAGGTTGGCAATCAACAGGCTCAAAATCTGACCTTTTTTCTGGTAGTTTTTCAGGATTTATTTTAAGACAAATTTTTTTTCTTTTTTGCACTAAAAATTATCTGAAAAATCTTGAAAATTGTGTTAAATATAATTTCACTTAAAAATCAGTGATAAAAACAATGAAAAAAACAATAAAAAACAGTTTTAATTTCCGTTGAATCTATTAGAATAATTATAAAATAATAATAATAAATAACAATCATATTTTTCTTTATAATAAAATAATATTAGTATGTTGTTAATATTTGTTAATGTAGATAATAATATTAATTAAGTAATATTGTTAATGCATATATTTAGCTTAAATCTGAAATTAGAATACATATGATACATATATTTAACTTAAAATTTAACTTATTTAGCTCAGAACTACAGAGGAAACTAAAAGTTTTATGTACACAGAAAATCCTCAACATCATGAGGTATTTTTATTTTAGTTTTTTTGTTAAGTTCTTATATTTTATATTTTGTACTTTTATATTTGTTAATTTTTTAATGTTTATGAGATTATTTATATATGATTTTTTACTTCACTAAAATATTTTATAGGTGACAAAAATGGCACAAAATGAAGTTTTGTCATTAGAAGTAATAACCCCTAAGAATTTGCTTAGATTTGCATGGCAAATATCATCGGGAATGGTCTTAAAATTTATTTGTTTTGATTTGATTTAGTGTGTCAAATTATAGTTTTAGCTGTATCTCTTCTTTGCTTTTTAATTTTAATTATGTATCTTCTTTGCTTTTTAATTTAAGTATCTTCTTTTCTTTTTAATTTAAGTATCTAATTTTAGGAGTACATTACAAGTATTAACCTAGTTCATCGTGATCTAGCTGCTAGAAATATCTTAGTTGGTGCTTCAAAAGATGTAAAAATATCAGATTTTGGATTGACACGTCAACTTAATGAAAAATTAGTTTATGAAAGTTTTAAAAGTCGTCGTTTACCAGTCAAGTGGATGGCAGTGGAATCATTATTTGATTTTAACTTTACATCACACAGTGATGTGTAAGTATTTACTATAATTTAAATATATTTTTCACTATTTGTTATTTGATTATAGAACTAGAAGTTAAATAAATGCAAAAAAAGGCTGTCTGCTGTAGTATATACGTATGCGTATATTATTGCCCGACTCGCAACGGAGTGCTGCTACATCGACTGACAAATAGCCTGACTCGCAACGGAGTGCTGCTACAACGACTGACAAATAGCCTGACTCGCAAGAGAGTGCTGCTACATCGACTGAGGGTTTGGTTTGGCCAGGCAGTGTATCAATTAAAAAAAAAATTTAATTTTTAAAACTTTTTCTGGTCTGGTTTATTAACGCGCTCTTTAAAACTACAGTTTATGGGAATATATATATACATATATATATATACATATATATATACATATATATATATATATATATATATATACATATATATATATATACATATATTTATATATATATATATACATATATATATATATATATATATATATATATATATATATATATATATATATATATATATATATATATATATATATATATATTTATATATATATATATATATATATATATATATATATGTATATATATATATATATATATATATATGTATATATATTTATATATATATATATGTATATATATATGTATATATATATATGTATATATATATATATATGTATGTATATATATATATATATATATATATACATACATATATATATATATACATAATATATATATATATATATATATATATATATATATATATATATATATATATATATATATATATATATATATATATATATATATATATATATGTATATATATGTATACATATATATATACATATAAATATATACATATATATATATATACGTATATATATATATATATATATATATATACATATATATATATACATATATATATATACATATATATATATATACATATATATATACATATATATATATACATATATATACATATATATATATACATACATATATATATATATATATATATATATATATATATATATATATATATATATATATATATATATACATATATATATATATATATATATATATATATATATATATATATATATATATATATATATATATATATATATGTATATATGTATATATGTATATATATATATATATATATATATATATATATCTGTAAATGTCATATCTTGTTATACGAAATGTTTATAAATATCTAAATTGATTTTAATGAAAAAGGCAGCATATAACTTTTTTTTTAAATATATTATGATGTAATAATATTTTAACGATATTTCGCTGACTTATTGTGGTCAGTATTATCAGGTAATGAATAAAACGTTACAAAATAACATAAAACCAACCGTTTTAAAAAGGAGACATTAAAAGCGTAAAATGTAAAAACTAATCAAATCTATTTTTTTCAAAATTGGTCCTCAAGTTTTTGTTTTCACATTATTCCTGTCGTCTCTATTTAGAACAGTTTGCCTAATACCTATCTCATGTCGAACTCTTCCTTCATTTATCTCCAGGGATTCTCTAACTTTTCTTATCCTGTATTCTAGAATGGCTGGCAAGGTCTTACGATTCAACCAATCAAAAGTACCGCTGCATATTCTAGAATGTTCTGTGGCTCTTGAACTCAACCATTTTTGATCTTTACAGACTTTTTGGTATTCCGTCCTTCTTGAAATGATTTTCTTTTTGGTCTCACCAATATATATATACTTTCACATGAGCATTTAAGCTCGTAAAAACCCAGATTTGAGTTCGGATGTAGTTTTGTTTTGTTGTTGCATAATATGTTATTTAAATTGAAAGCTGAAGTAAATATAAATCTGGTGTTTTGTTTTCTAAATTCTTTTCACAGTTAAGGGCCAATAATTAGTATCCAAGGTAGTTTAACAAACTGCTTATCTAATTGTTTAGATGTAGTATTTTTTTAAACGCGATCTAAATAGTTTTTGGTTATTTTAATAAGATTACTTTTATTATAGTCGTTTTCAAAAAATGTACCTATGAGCAAATCAATTTCTTTTGAGAGCAGATTTGTTTTGCTCTACATAGAAATCCTTTAAAGATGCCAGTGATTAAGCTTGGGTTGATGCTAGAGTTTGGTCTTATTTGAACATTGGTTATCTCATCCTTATGGTGTACTTAAAATTCATAAAATCCATTCATTGTATTTGTAATAAAAATATATAAAAAGTTTAGTTGGTTTCTTTCGTTTTCAAGTTTAACAGTATATTTTATAGATGGGTTTTGTTCATTTAAAGTTTTAAGAAACAGTTCTTGTTTTTCTTTTGAATCGAAGTGAGCATGGGTATAGTCTATAATTTTTTGGAAGTTACTGGTTGGAATGAATTAACAGAGGCTATATTAAGGACTCTTTTTTCTACATTTTGCAAAAATGTTTCAGCTATGATTACCATCATCGAATCACCAATTGAACCTGAATTAGGTAAAATTCGGATTTTATCTTTGTATAAAAAATAACACTTGCCTAATGAAAGTTCAATTAACTGGTGTATATCTAAATGAGTTAATTTAGTCCTAGTTTTTAAATCCTCCAAATCATCGTACAATATGTTAACAATAACCTGTATTGCTTCATCGATCAGATCAGATGGATATAAATTAACTATATCAAATGAAACTTGAATTTCATTAGGGCCAATCTTCCATTTTTAGCATCGTTGACAAAACTACTCAAATTAATTATTCAAGTAGTATTTTTATTTAATGTTGGCTGAATAAACTTTTTACTTTTGGGTAATTTTTTTCTGGTTTGTGAGCTTTCGGTAGATTCAAAGTAAGTGGCTTTGATTAACTTATCCGGTTTTCTAAATTTACATAGCAGTTTTTGAAATTTAGTAGTTTGGTAGTAATTTTTCAATCTTCAGTTCTTTTAGGTGGCAATTTTCAGTAAACTTAATGAGCTGTTTTGATTTTTATTTAACATACAACTCTGCAAGGGAAAATCTTATTTGTTTCGTTCATTAGAGAAATTTAGCGTGGCATAATTAATGATTCCTTTTTTAAAAAATAAGGGATCAGCCAAAAGGTATATAAAGCCAAATAATAATGGAGTGTAATACTCTTTTAATGGTTATCTAAATTCTGTTGTTGTTGCGCACTCTGTTTGGAATGTTTAATGGGGGCGTGGTGAAATGCTGTAAAACTCTAAATTTCCTTATTGCATCAATATTAAATAACTTAAACTTTTAATTATTTTTAAAAGTAAATAGTTTAATAAAATGGTTTAGTGTAAATATAAAATTAGAATTTTTAATTATGTTTTTTAAAAGACATACTTTTTAAACCCCCGTACTGTTTTAAAAAAGTTAAGGCGTGGCAAGTTCACATCATCAGCTTGCTTTATTTTTTAATTTTTGTTATTTAAAATGCAAAACAAAAAAACTTTACAGTTCTATAGATTTTATATTCTATATATAAACATGTTTTATACTCATTTTTCTTGCACAAACTCAACTTAGTTGTAAAAAAAACTTGAAATATTAAACTAAAATAACATAAGTATCTTAACCATGACACATACGCAACAAATATCTCCTGTTTTTTAATTTTAAAAATCTTTTCGTTTGTTAAAGTGTATAACATCGTTAGATATGTTTGTATATAATCTTTATAAACTTCACAAGTATTTTTAAAAATTCTAATAACTCGGCCATGCTGGCATGTTGCTCATTGATATTTTAAAACCATATAAAATTTGTTTTTAAAATAAATAAATGCTAAAGATCAGAACTTTGTTCTCATGGCGACAATTAAATATTAGTTCGTTTTTTTTGTTTAATAATTCTTTAGGATTTTTGTTCAATTAAGTTAATAGTTTTTTGTAAAAGCATAACAGGCTTTTTTTGGTTATGTTGTTGATTGGATCTTTTTAAATTGGGTGTTGTTTTTGATTTATTTTGTGTATCCCATAGATATTTTGAAAGCGTGGTTGACTTTGTGAGTTTTTTATTTTCG